GATGGAGAGCTGCTGGACTGCCTTTTTGAACAACAAGGTTGCAGATACAAAACTGAGAAGAATCCAGAGAACTGTAAAATGAATACGGGGTTCAGTCCCTTGACATTCATTCATACTGTTCACTATCTAACATTTATCACACTGTGTTGTCATCTTTGCACGGTGGTTTCTGAAAATGGATTTGAATTCATTAGGGCTAAATTTTAATCACTTCTTTTTAGGACGGCATATAACCGCATTATTCAAACCAAGGTACTTAAGAGATAAAGGCAAAAGTGTTAATATGTAGGCCAGAAAGCTCTAGGTAAATTGGAACTCTCCTAAATCTTTTAAACAAACTTATAACCGTCTTTATCTGCCAAAGCCAAAAAGATAAAGCATTTGATAAAATATATACTGAATGAGTGGTGTTTTTGTATTACTCCTTGATCAAAGAAGATAATCTGTAGATGTTGTATAATTGTAATTTGGTCCGGTGTAAAGGAAAATATAAAACTATATTATAGTGCCATAACTTCAAAAGAAAAGTTTTGTGAACATCCCCATTTCTGAAAAACGAGGAAACCCATAGAAACATATCTATAAAAGCCTTTTTAGGGGAGAGCCGACAGAGGGTAGGGTGCTCGCCTGCACACATCAGACTCAGGTTTGATTCCCAGCATCCCATAGGGACCCTCCACCCCAGAGCTCCCTTCCCCGCTTGCCAGTGCTGATTAGTGGCTCAAAGCACTTGCCAAGCAAGCCTGAGGTTTGTTTTTGTTTTTTTGTTTTGGGGTTTTTTGTTTGTTTAGGTGAGGGAAATGGGACATACCTGGTGGTGCTCAGGGCTTACTCCTGGCTCTGTGCTCAGGGATCACTCCTAGCAGTTCTCATGGGACCAAATGTGGTGCTGGGGATCAAGCACAGGAAATCACAGTGCAAGCATGGGGACAGTCTTGAAAGCTCTGTAGTTAGAGATCCCCAGGGTGAGAGGCTGGGAAGAAGGCCCGGTAGCTTACGCAGTGCTCAAGGCAAAGTGGAGTCCAGCAGCTTAGTCCTTATTTCCTTGACGCAGAGTATACTGAGTAGCTATAATTTCATTTTTATATACTTTGAATAACCTGATTTTGCATCTTTTTTCAGGATGTTCTTGAGGAGAGAATTTCCCTGGAAGTTCAACTGGAACAACTTCGACCATTCTCTCACCTATAAGCCAACTGCCGTTAACTGTGAACATACCCATTTTTAAGCAGTTTTGGGTTCAAAGCCAAGTTGGAAACCCAGACGTTCAGCTCACTGCTTAACTCAACATTAAATTTTATGATTCTCTTTTGCTCTCTATGTTCACCATTGTATTTAAGTATCTTTTATTTTTTAATTTCAACAATAAAGGGGTCAGGATGACTTTTTCTGGAGAGTAAATCGTGTTTGTTGGTGTACAGCCTGCCTTTGCCATTCTGTGGCCTCAGTGACGTATAACATTGCTTCATTCTATTTATGTGTGTGGGGAAAACCTCACTCTGACTTGATTTACTGAAAGGACTTTCTCTTTTATTGTTGTTGTTTTTTTGCTTTGAGGCCACACCTGGGGATGCTCAGGGCTTACTCCTGTGTGGGGCTTGGGGTACCATATGGAGTGCTGGGGATAGAACCCAGGTCAGCCTTACTTGCTGTCCTGTCTCTCTGGCCCCTGGACCAAGCACAGACTTAGAAACCTTAGCAAAAAGGGACACAATTAGTCACTTTGTCTTTTGGATTTAAAATCTTACATAAAAATATAAGTCTTGAGGCTGGAGAGATAGTACAGCGGGTAGGGCATTTGCCTTACATGCAGCCAACCCGGGTTCAATCCCTGGCATCCCATATGATCACCCGAGCACCGCTGGATTAATTCCTGAGCGCAGAGCCAGGAGTATCCCCTGAGCATGGCTGGTTGTGACCCAAAAAGCAAAAGCAAAAAAAATCTCATAAAATTCTTTAAACTGACTCTTTAGTTTTCACTTGAAAGAATTCTCCTGAATAAGAAATTCTGTAATCTCAAGCTTTGTAAGAATAATCTTTTTTCTACAGTCATGTGGTAGTTTTCAGTTTCATGTCAAATGTCACTGTCACTGTCCTCCCCTTGTTCACCGATTTGTTCGAGCAAGCCCACTAACATCTCCATCGTGAGACTTGTTGTTACTGTGTTTGGAATATCGGATACATCACGGGTAGCTTGCCAGACTTTGCCGTGCGGGCGAGATACTCTCGGTAGCTTGCCGGGCTCTCCGAGAGGGGCGGAGGAATCGAACCCAGATCGGCCATGTCGGCCGCGTGCAAGGCAAACGCCCTACCGCTGTGCTATCGCTCCAGCCCCTTCATGTCAACTAGGAGTCACATGAAAATAGTTTTCATCTATTTTACCAAAAATCTTAATATTTTTATGTGAGGCTTTTTTAGTTTTGTTTTTTGGTCTGCATCCTGCATTGATTAGGATTGACTCCTGGCCCTGTGCTTAGGGTCGCTTGTTGTGATGCTCAGGGGACCATATGCAGGCCAAGCGATCAAACTGAGCTCTGCCATATGCAAGGCAGGCGCCTTCATCCCTGTATAGTCTCTCTGGCCCTGTGGAGAGATTTTAATTATCAACATCATAAAAGCTTATGAAATTTCTGTGGAGGAAGGTCTTAATTGTTCCCCAGAAGTGAAGGAAAAGTGAAGGGAAACTTTATATTGAAATAACATAAGGACTTCCACTTGCAAACATCACCACTTTGGGGGCCTTGTCGGGGGAAGGGAATACCCAGCTGTACTCAGGGTTTATTCCTATGGGTGGACTCAGGGGCCATATGGGGTGCCAGGGATGCAATTCGGGTTGGTCACTTGCAAGGCAAGCACCCTACCCGCTGTCCTCTCCCTCAGGCCCTTAAACATCACCACTGTCATGGTTTCTGAAGTGTGGCCTAACTGCACAAAAATATGATCTTTAGAATTGATTTTACATGATATATTCGATATATTCAATTTTGTTCACATTTAGAAGTTTGCATTCATTGTTAACAGTAAATACTCTCTTTTATTATTGTGTGTAGGGGCTGGAGCGATAGCACAACGGGTAGGGCATTTGCCTTGCAAATGGTTCAATCCCCGGCATCCCATATGGTCTCCCAAGCACCGCTAGGAGTAATTCCTGAGTGCAGAGCCAGGAGTGACCCCTGAGCATTGCTGGGTGTGAGCCAAAAAAGGCTAAATAAATAAATATTGTGTGTATAGTTATTTTAACACCTGTGTATGGCAGGTGCTAATCTTCATGGATATAATGACCATAGTGATTTTGCACTAATAAAATTGCTCAATATTTTACCTTTATAGGTTTCCTAATAGTTAAAATGTTTGCGTGTTAGAAGGAGAGTCAGGAAGTGATTCTAAAGACCCAGGTGCATCCTGCATGCAGTAGCCCCAGGTCCGAGCCCCTATGATACCATAGAGTTCCCACCCACCACGCCCACTCTCCCAGCAGAACATAAAACTAGGAGAAATTGGCACTTTCATCACTTTAAAAAAAAAAAGTTTTAAGTGACCTGCTTTTGGCCAGAGAGATGGAACAGGGGTTGAGGCACTTGGCTTGCATGCAGCCAAGCCCGTTAGGATCACAGGCATCACATAAGGCTCTCTGAGCACTTCTAGGAGGAGTCCCTGAGCACTGCTGGGGGTGGAAAATAAATTTTAAAACATTAAGTCTATTTCCTAATCTTAGATTTTACTGCATTTTATTTATGTACTTTGGCTTTGGGGGAAGGCCCTACCTGGAGGTGCCAAGGGCTCACTCCAGGCTCTGTACTCTGGGATCATTCTTGACAGTGCTCGGGGGATCATTTGTGGTACCAGGGATCAAAGCTTGCGAGGCAAGTGGCTTAACCCCTGCACAGCCTCTCTGACCCTACAGGGTATATTACTACAGAGAAGAATTGAAGCAAGAAGGAAACTTAACTAAAGTTTCCAAGATTTAAGTAAAAACTAAATCCACTTAATTTATAAATGGATTAACTAGTAAATCCATTAATTTAGTAAAAAAATATTGTTCCTACCGGGCTAGCAATTAGGGAACTTTCCTAGCCCACAGCCAACCCAGGTTCCATCCTTAGCACTCTTGTAATCCCCATATTAATGAATTAAATGAAGATTTTAAAGACCCAGAAAACTACTTGACACTTCGCTATTCCTTTGCTTTAAAAGAGTTGTGTCAATTTCTTAATTTAATTAACTGAAGTTTTATTTTCACTCATTTGTTTTTCTAAACTGTTTTTCCCTGCCGAATCACCTTCTGTGCTAATAGTGCCATTAACTTACAAAGCTCCTAATTTGGAAGCTCCGGGAATTTAATTTTGCAACCAAAGAACACAAAAATTACAGAGAAACTTTTTAGTGTGGTGGCTCGTTCCTATGCTCTCTTGAAGCACATTTATATGAAGAGTATTTGCAACATGTTTTGAGTAAGTTGCCATCTATGCTATACATTTTTTAAATCATTCGTGAAAATATTAGATGCTTAGTAAATTTTCCAATTAAAAATATGTCTCTAGACTAAGAAACTTGGTTCTGATTTTATTTTTCATTAGATCACAAAGCAAAACTTCAAATACAAAATCGACTTGTTGGAGTTTGTTTTGTTTGGGGGAATGTAGGGACAGGAGGGCATGTCTGGGCCACACCCGGCATGTGCAATGCAAGGGATCGAACCCCGGTTGGCTGCATACATAGAATGCAAGCACCCTGCCTGCTGTCCTATCTCACCAGCCCTCTGCTTGTTCTAAATTTTGTCAAATAATCATTGTCTGTCTTAATTAAGTACCAGTGGAAATGGTACAAACTTCTGGACTCAAAATTATAGTTAAGCAGAGAGGATGGTTACGGTGGCACTCCTCGTTCATCTTCCTGCCATCCATAACGTAATTCTGCTGGCCAAACGTTCTGGAGCAGAAAAACAACCAATGGTATCTGTTTGCCAGCGAAGGTCTGCACCATTATGTCTGAGTCCACCCTCACTTCTCCATACTACTCCGGATTGCGTTTTGAAGTGCTGATAGCCACAGGAATTTATCATCCACAGCCTCCGTAGCACAAATCCATTCACTCTTTGGGCCTTGAAGAATAAATGCATTCTTGATATCTGTAAAGACATTCAAGAACAAACCCAGCTTACACTACTACTGCCTGAAATGACTAACTCAAACCTAACTTCAAATGTATATTAGTTTCATCTTAGCAATTACAAGACTTAAAAAGGACAATATTGGCTTGTCCAATTTTGTCCTTGGCTACTCCGAAAGCAAATAGAATCATTTAAAGTCTTAACAACTAGTTCTATAAATAAAGAGACATATCAAGACAGTCTTAATATGGCAGAATTAAGCCAATGACTTCCCTGGATGCCTGCAGTCGATTCAGTTACATAGCAGTACTTTGGAAACAGGACACAGTTGATTAAGAAGGGCTGATAGAGACGTTACATTCTAAGTGTACCAAATGGCTAAAGATTAGTACCTGGCATCATCTTCTGGATGGAAACGTTCCTATCCTATGTTCATTATTTCTCAGGTGTAGATTTAAGATGGGGCTGAAGCTAATGGGATCCAGTACTTAAATGTTTCTTGACTCCAGCTTTAACCTCAAGCCCTTCTTTAAGTGGCATGAAAGATACTTACATAAGAGATGTTACTGCCCGATTGTCCAATCTAACATAGAAAAGCTATATGGATACTTTGAAGCTTAGGAGGAGGGCCAAAGCAACAGTACAGTGGGTAGAGTGTTTGCCTTGCACATGGCCGACCCAGGTTCAATCCCCAGTATCCCATATCCCAACCACCGCTAGGAGCCAGGAGTAACCCCTGAGCATCTCTGGTTGTGACCCAAAAAGAAAAAAAATACATATATATATATATATATATATATATATATATATATAAAGCTTAGGAGGTGGAGTATAAGATAAAAATTTAAAACATTAATAGGTTTGAGTAAAATTTCTTTTTATAATGTGAGGTTTCTACTGAGGCTACTATGAATTAAATGTGTAAGATATTCAGCAGCCTTTGCAAATATGCTGCTTTGATAGGACTATACCGGCTTAAATATCAAGGAACAGTACAGTCAGGTCAGTAATCATTTCATCCTAGTAGAATGGAAAAGTAATAGAGAAAGAATTAAAATCATAACACCCACAAGTAATATATATTGTAGTTAAGAACTCCAACTCATGTCAGACTGTTTCAGAGGACCTGGTATGTACCATCATACCCCCTGTGAGTTTGGTTTGGAACAACAGAGCTGCAGTGCTCAGGGCTCACACCTGTGATTTTTAAAGACTGTTTTCTAATGGTAAGGGTGCCTCCCAGCAGTTCTTTTCTTTTTCCTTTCTATTTCAGGAGTAGATGGAAATTTATGGTAGTGTAATTCTCATACCATACTAGAATTAGCAAGTTAACAATTGGAGTTGTCTTGGTTTTCTATTGCTAAACTTTGTAGACTACACCTTTCTACATATATTTAACACTTGAAAAACATACATTTGGAATCTGGAATATCTTCTATGAGCAACCTCTGAAGGGCGACCGATGCAATGAACTGGTAGGTTGACTTTGAAGTCCTTTCAAATGGAGTGTGAGACGTGCCCCGACTGGAAATAAGCAGCGTGTCATTGAAGAGGAACAGGCTGAGATCGTGGGTGTGTTCGTAGAGCCTGTGTTACACGGGCGAGAGGCAGTGTTAGAAGGGGAGTAGGTGCACGCGTGGTTTGGTTACACAATCACCCTGTTCACGAGTCAAGGGTTTGGCTCCACAGCAGACCCTCAGAATGACACACCAAGTTCTCAATAATCGTTTTTCTGCTGGTTGAATAGTTCCTCCTCATTTCCTCAGACCAATGCTATGGGTGACACTCTTGAGGTATCTGCCAGAATTTTGGAGCTTGTTCACTGGACAAGTATTTAATTGGTGGAGGAAAAATGAACATTTCCGCATTCTCTTTATGACAAATGACTAGCTTTTATATACTTTGTTATTTTGTGTTGGATGTGTTTGGCAATCTAGGGAAAATAAAATTTTTGGTTTGCTTGCATCTTTTAGGTTAATGGGTTCAGGTAGAGGAAAGTCCAAGACCCAATGAGGCATAGGGTGTCTTCTTTTTTTTTTTTTTAGTGATAGTTTTTTTTTTTCAGGGCAAGAGTTCACTTTTTTTTTTTTTTTTGGTATTTATTTATTGAATCACTGTGGGAAAAGTTACAAAGCTTTCAGGTTTAAGTCTTGGTCATGCAATGATCAAACACCTTTCCCTTTACCAGTACTTATTTTTCACCACCAAGAACCCCAATATACCCCTCTCCCATCCCTCCCAATGCCTGTGAGGGAGATGAATTCTACTTAATTCTCTATCTTCTTTGATTAAATTCATTATTTCGACGATAGATGCACCATTATTGTTTAGAGTTTACACCCAACAATCAGAGCTGTTGAAAAAGCATTGTGAAATAATTTGTTTTCTACACCTGATTATGAGAAGCATATCGCAGCAATGCAATTTTTGATTTCTGATATTTTACTTATTAAGCCTGGAGGGATTTCTGCCAAGAGCCAGATAATTACGAGATTGGTTTCTGTGGATCTGGAGCCATGGCCATGCGGTAGAGCTGCTCGAGGGGGCAACTTGTGACCTCAGTAAGGCATGAAGGACAAGCCGGGAACGCCCCCCTTCCCATGAGGTTGCAGTTGCCCCATCACCACCGGCTCATTCATGGCTTTCCAAAAAGCTCCGAGGCAGCTGCCATCTTGCTGCCCAGGGACATAGGGTGTCTTAAGTAGAAAGCTGGAAGGCGAGGGACCCAAAGATGCCTCAGTGGCATAAACTGCTCACGAACAAGCACAGGTTCAAACCCTGCTGCCACCTATTTGTGCCGGGACAATCTTGAGAGTTCTGCGGTTGGGGAACCCCCAACAAAAAGGCCGACACATACCAAGGCTATCCTGACGGGCTCACTGTCTAGAATTCTAGCATTTACCCCAAGGGGCTGGGGGTAAAAGAAAAGCATTGAATTCTAGGTACCCAGTAGGAAAAAAGAAATCTGATTTCAGTTGTAGGGGACTTGATAAATCAGTAAGCCTCAACAGGTATGAAAAGTTAGACTTAAGTAGCTTTCCTTTTTTCTGAGATTGCCACCGTGGTCAACCGCAGCCCTTATCCACAGGCAAAATGGGGTAGACCTGGGCTCGCTCTGGTCTTTGCTTTCCTGTGCTTGCAGCCAGGGTTGCCCGGACCTGCGCTCAGTATGGGTTTCAGATGCAAGAGCTTGCTAGTGTCCGGTGATGCACCCAAGAGGAATCTGGGGCAGAATTACACACCGGAAGAGGCTCTTAAAGCAAGTTCAGCATCCTGATAGTCGGTCACTGAAACAGTTTTGTCTCAGAAGCATCTTAGGAAGAGAATTGATTTTCTGGTTTGTTCGAATAAAGTCTTTTTTTTTTAAGTGGGGCGAGGGGAGATTAGTGGCTGGTGGGGGGGCGGGGCGGCGGGGAGGCCGGGCATACGGGCTGTGCTCAGGTACAGCATTCTGGGCTCCGTGTTCTGGGATCACGACTGGTAGTGCTTGGGGGACCCTGTGCAGCACCAGGGATTTGAACCAGGGTTTGATGCATATGAGACAGTGCTTAACCCCTGTGTTAGCTCTCTACCCTTAAGGTATTTTCTTTCTATAGTTCTTGGTTTTCAGATGTATTAAGTTGATTTAAGTGTATCAGTATCCTTATGTAAATGCTAACGTGACATCAGTCCACTTTGGGGGATTTGTGTCCTTCTGGAGTTGTTACATTTTCATTTTTCTTGTTTTGCTAGCTCTTGCATTACCTAGTTATAATACCTATCTTCTACTTTTTTTTTAACTTGCTCAGGTCATCCCACACATGCACATATATTTATAGATGGGTTGCCATTATTTTGCAAAAATGGTTATATACACACTTTTCCTGTACTTTTTTTTTTCACTTAACAATGCAAAGCACTTTAAATATACTAGTTCGGCTTTAATTTATTCTTTTTAATTTATTCAATGGTTCTGATCCATTAACCACTGACCATCGCTTACTCATCTCTTCCCTTTTATTATTTTTTTATTATTCTTATTTTCTTTTTGGGTCACACCCGGCGATGCACAGGGGTTACTCCTGGCTCTGCACTCAGGAATTACCCCTGGCGGTGCTCAGGGAACTATATGGGATGTTGGGAATCGAATCTGGATTGGCCACGTGCAAAGCAAACACTCTACCCGCTTTGCTGTAAATCCAGCTTCATCTCTTCCCTTTTAGGTGGACATTTGCTTTGGTTCCAGGCTTACATCTCTTTTCTCTTTTCCTTCTCACTCTCCCTCCTTCCTTTCATTTGTTCCTTGTTGCTATTATTAGCATTGTTACAATAAACTCATCATTACACATAAATAAATTTTTACATGTGTTTTGTTTCTATCAGGTAGGGTTCCCAAAGACAGAATGATTAGTCAAGGACATGCAAGTTTTTAATCAAAGACTCGTAGGGTTTTCACCATGTAAGCTGCTACAATTCACATTTAAATGCACCTTATAGAATAATGGCTCTGTCTTGCATACATAGTACAAACTTTAATGTAATCTGAGTTATCTGGATATTTTTATAAATGCATATTATGTTTTTTGATAGAATTGGAATCAGTTGAGATTCTGCATTTCTAAAATGCTGATAGGCATCAAGACCACAAGGATTGTATCAGGGAAGTCAATCTTTTGTTTGTATTCTGGGTATTTTCTGGCTGTGCTCAGGACTTCACTCCTGGCTCGATACTAGGGGTCATTGCTGGCGGTTCTCAGGGTAGCATGTGCGGGGCCACGGACCAAACCCAGAGTCAGCTGTGTACAAGGCAAGTCCCTAAACTCCTGTGGTATCTCTCCGGCCGCAAGTAAGTATTTTTAGTAGTACTGAGCTTCAGATTTCAGCCATTTGGATCATTTAGTACAAATCTAGGACAGATCTGTTTGGATGTGAGGATAGAAATGTAGTGATCATCCAATCACTAAGCCAACTCTTTCTCAAACATCTCCTTTCTGTCTCTATGAGGCTATGATTTGATAAATAGGATTTTTTCATTAAAAAAAATTTGGACCACACCCGGCAGTGCTAAGGGATTACTCCTGGCATGGCTTGGGGGATCCTATGGAGTGCCGGGGATGGAACCTAGGTTGCCTGTATGCAAGGCAAGCGCCTTCTCTGCTGTACCATCTCTCCAGCCCCGGGAATAGGATATTCCACATTTTCTAATACCTGGCAAGAAATAAATGTTCAAGATCAAGTTGATAGTTTTGTTTTTTTTTTCCTAATAACGGATTGTGTAAAAGTAGGGGTGGGAGGAGAGAGGAAAGACGGGTGCATTTTTAGTGTGTGATAGGTTGCTTGTGATAAATCACACTTTATGCAAATGAATGCACCCATGTTCTTGCCCCCTTTTGGGCAGTGGTTTTTTTTTGTTTGTTTGTTTTTACTGTTTTTTACGTTTTTTTATATCTCTGATAAGAAGATCCTGTCGTTTTAGTTGAGAAGAATGATTAAAGCTGTAGTAAGGCTTTACTGGGTTTTGGTCTGTCTGTCTGTCTGTCTGTCTGTCTCTCTCTCTCTCTCTCTCTCTCTCTCTCTGTGCGAGGAATTGAACGCTGAACATGATGCATGCAAGACATGCATTGTACCACTCGGCCACACCCCCAACCCAACCCACAACTTTCCTGCTTCGCTATTGTTTTGAATTCTCAGGGAATGTGCCTCCATGGGTACTTTGGAGAAGCGATTTTGAATAGGGTATTTGTAAGTTGGGTGTCTATTTTTTCCCTTTGGCATGAACAACAGGGAGAGAGTCAAGGGAAATGAAAGGGAATTCCAGTATTAGGACCCACTTAGACCTGGCCATACTTGGCCAGGAGCCTGGAAGCCAAGGAGCCAGGCACAAAAACAAGCGTGGTGTAGAGGCCACTTGTAACCAGAGTCACGACTGAACTGAACACTCAACACAAGGGAGTGTCTGTTATTTCAATCTGATAATGAGGGTGATAGTTATAGATATATAAGCCTGAGCTTTGTCATGAAAAAAGAATTTTAAAGAAGTTTTTCAAAACAAACTTTGGCATGAACCGGTAAGATTCATTCTATGAACTGACCTGAGCCAAACTGCTGTTTCTCATCACTCTGTTGGTTGATTATAGTGGCTTTGGGAGTCTTCAGGATAAGAGTGAGTTCACAGCAAGATTCAAAATATCTAGGGTCTTCGTATTCCCCTATTCTCAGTGCATAGGCACCCCTAAAGTAAAAGCCTGCTCTTTATGGAGAGTTTTCAAGGCAAGCTTTGCAGCACACATTGTTAGTATTCTAGCTGGAGTCCTACTAAGGATATGGGGTCAGACACGTGACTGGCACCATTGGTGAATCAAGGCCATGCCTTTCACTTTCCACCAGTTCTAGGGGCCCTGTTTTTTGTTTACGTTTTCTTTTTATTCAAATACTGATTTACAAAGTGTAGTATAACACTGTTCTTGTCCTTCCTGCATAGTTTAGGTTTATTGGGTTGCTCCCATTACAGTGCTCCCATTCCTCTGTGTTTATTTGTAACTTCTTTCTTTGTGCTCTGTTGACTTGTAAATATTGTTTTTCTCTTCTAAATCCTTTCCATAGTTTAT